GTTTGAGGACTAAGGTGTGTCTGATTCAGGCCATAGTCTTTCCAATCAATTGCTAGGCATCTGAGGACTGGACAATGAATAAAGATGACAGTTGAGCTATGATGCTGGAAAAGAGTACTGAACATCCCATGGATGGTAAAAAGAACAAAAAGATTCGTCTGGGAGAGAGTGCAGCTGGAATGTTCTTTGAAGGCAAGAGTGAAGAGGTTTCATCTCACATATTTGGGGCATGTTGTTAGGAGGGGCTATTCCTTGGAGAGGGACATGATGCTGGGAACGTAGAGGACTGGCAAAAGAAAGAAAGACCCTCAACTGGGTGGGTTGACACAGGGACTGCCAAAATGGCCTCTTGTATGTCAGGAAGTGTAAGGATGGCACAGGATAAAACAAGGTTCAGATCTTTTGTTCACAGGGTCTCTGAGTCATACTTTACAGCACATAACAAAAATAATAACCTTACAAAATATAATTTTTAAAAAACCCAATTTTTGTGGTTAAAATTATTCACAGATAGCATAACATCAATTTAATTATTTCTACATAACAGATAATATTGACTACATTCTTCAAATTGTACAACCATTCTCATTTTCTTGTTCTGAGTTGTTTTTACATATTTATGGTTTAGAAAAAATTCCATAAAAATTATCTGATTAACAATGGAAAAAAATAAACTCTTAAGATGTAAATACAATGACCTCATAATTTTAAAAAGTGTTCTTACTTACAACTTAATGAGCAGATTAAAAAAATAATTTTGTAGAAATAAATTACTGATTAATAAAAAATAAAATTATAATACATGGAGTGAAAATGGTGAATAGCTTTTAAGTTACTATGGTTTCAGCATTTTCTTTCAGATTTATTCAACCTTGTCTTTGCATCAAGAGGCCTGGTGGCACAGTAAATTATTAGGTGGCAAGTGGAGAGGTTGACAGTTGGAACGCATTTGCTAAAGATAAGGCAATTTTCTGACTTTCAACAATTTAATTGCATTTTCATGATTTTTTTTTCAGATTACCCAACCCTATCATTGTATCAAAGACCCCAGGCTAAGGAAATCACACTAACAAGATTTCACTCCCCTTTCAATGGTCAGTTGAAAGTTAATGCTCTAAAATATTTTTATCATATATTCCTTCTATTAAGCCAATGATTTGTTCTTTGTATCTTTCTTTCCTAGGAGATATTATCTACATTCTTATGTGTATGGCCGTCACATGTGGAATCTTTCTTTTGATTCTTCTCAAACTGAGGTAATTGGATACAGGACCAGACTGGAATAGAATTATTTATCCATTTGTAAGCATATTTCACAAAGGTAGAAACTACAAAGGACTTGAAACACACACTCCTTTAAGACATACCAAATTACTTTTTATATGAGTCTATGGAGACATAACTCTTCTATTTCATCTGTATGAAAAATAGGATTATAAAGTATTTCCTTTGTTACATTTTTCAAGTGTATACACATAACATGTTCTCCCAAATTAAATTGTTAGCAGTGTTTTCCTCGGTCTTTCTAAAAATCAATAGTGAATCTCAATATATTATTTTATCCAAATCACTTGCAGGATTAATAATTTTGTATAGTGGATTTGTTGTACTTTATATAATTTATATTTAGGTGAATATATGTCACTTTGATTTTATATACATTATACACATAATGAATCTATTCATTTCATGATATACTCTTATTGAAAGGAGCATATAATGATTTTTTGTAGGGTAAACACGGAAAGATTTATTCCTGTTGCCTAAAATGAATTCACTCTTTCCAAATATTCCTTTGTCATGACTTTCTTTATTAAGCAGTTGAACAAAGGTTGAGTGGGTATGTAGGATTTTTCAGATTTAAATGTCTCAATCTCCAAATTTCTGAATGTTTACAGTTTTAAGAATTTCTACTCATTCAACTTTGAAAATATATATAAAGTAGTCATCCCTGTTTGCTTTTAATTTTGTTTTTAAAAATTTATCATTTGAATGAATATTTGCAAATAATTTTGCATTTTCACTAAATAACACAGACTTTTATTTATAACAATAATTAAAATTTGTTAATGTAATTAGTTACAATGTCTAATCAAACACTTATTGTATATGGCCTTTCCATTCACCCAACATATCTGTATTTAACCATGAATTTAAACATCATGTTTATTTTCTTTTTCATTTTATATGGGTGTATAATGTGTATAATTTGAATATTATAAATGATGTTGAAGAAATATATACACATTTTGTTG